TCGAAATTTGTCTGAAGAAAAAAAAACTCACCCCGAGCACAAATATTCCGTTACTTTCGTATCGAAAGTCGGAACAATAACTAGGAAGAGTAACTTTTCAAATGCAAATGAAAAATTTAAACGCCAAACGTCAAAACTTTTACGTTTTGTGTGATCCGGACAAAAATGACAGCACTACATGCCTGTTTTTGAGAGCAACAAAAATATATAATCTTAAAAACCAAAAATCTATTTCAAGCAAATGACCCTCTCATTACAAAAACAGATTTTTTTCAATTTCAATTCCGGATACAATTTTTTGCAATCAAACGTCAAATTCTGGTCCATATTGAGTGATTGATGCAAAAATGGCAGCACCAAGTCCTGTGTTTTTATCCTAATTAGAAGAAAAAATATCTAACTCTCCAAACAGCAAAATTAGCGATGCGCGCTTGGTTTATTAATCAAATACGGTATAAATATTTTTTAGCCTGATAAGTGTTTCAAGACAAACATAGTTTTGTGGAAAAGTTATTCTCCTATTTATTATTCAATAATGGTTGAGAATAAGATATACCCATAAAGCAATCTTTTATACAACTATAAAACATTCTTTAACACATACAACTAACTTGAACTTTATTTGAAACGGTTAATTTTTTCACCATGCTTTTTTGCAGCCAAAAAATTTGTCGCTCAAGCGTTGTTAATGTTATATAGATGCAAATGAAATGAGTTTGCAGAAAAAACTTCGTCAATATCAAACTAAACCAATTTCATTTTAAAGTACTTTTAAACTCCATTTTAAAATCAACTTGAATACCGACTAGAGCTACAGGCCAATTTGTGTTACAAACCCACTATCAAAATTATTTGAAAGTTTGCTTTTGATAGAATATTCTAGAACAATTTGTTAAAAGTGTCTACCATCTCGGATTTATGGAAGAAATTTTGTGACAGAAGCCGTTATGTCTGTCTTTTGCCAAACTAATTTGCAAAAAAAAATTAAGAAACACAAGTAAAATTTAGTTTTGATCTTGTTAAAACTTGATCTTGCCTTTTTTTGAGAAAAATTGTGTGCATTTTGTCACAACTCATGAAAAAAACACTTGAAAAGTTGAAGAATACTATTTGCGAATTTTGTCAAAGTTACTGAAAAATACTCACCACAATTACTGGAAAAAAAATCTGCGAACTATACCGTTATCTCTGTCTTTTGCCAAACTAATTTGTGAAAACAATGAAGAAAAACAAGTATTTTTTTACTTGGTCTTAGTTTGATCTTAATCTTGTTAAAACTTGATTTTGGCCTTTTTGGTCTTAATCTTGTTTGGTCTTAATCTTGTTAAAACTTGATCTTTTGCTTTTTTTGATAAAAACTGTATGCGTTTTGTCAAAACTCATGAAAATCATTCTTGAAAAATTGATGAATAGTTTTTGCAAATGGCGCCAAAATCACTGAAATTTATGCTTGAAGTTGCATGTATAGTTTTTGTAAAAATGCGTTCAGATTTCTGAATGTCATTCTTGAAAAGAGACTAACAGTTTTAAAGCTTAAAGCATCGTTTTCAATCGAATTTTGAAAAAAAGACTGAAAACAATAGCTTAAGCTTTAAAATAGTTAACCATTGCGTACCACATAGTAAAGTTTTATTTAAAACCACTGGTTTTGGTTCTCGATGACAATGTTTTTGACGACAAAAATTAAAATAAGCAGAAGAAGCTTGACTTCAACGCAATTTGCTGTTGATGACGAACAATATTCTTTTATAAAGGAAACTCAAAACATGTTAAGAAACAGCAGCTCAAAAACAACTGAAAAACTGAAAGCTCTTGAAAAAAATAAAACAGAGCTCATTGATTTTTGGAGAAGAAATTACTTTAGACCTTTTAACTTCTAAATTTGATATGTTTGCTTATGGACTTGCAGGGTGTCTTGGATTATTAGTTGAAAAATAAACTTCGTTGAAAAAAATTTCAATCTTTCACGTTTTTCGCACTGTGTCAGAAATTAACAGGTTAAGCGAACAAACTAAACAAGGAATAAATTTTGCTATCTTTCTAGAAGATGAAATCAATCCCAAAGCTTACCTCTTAAGACTAAAAGTTTAACAACCTAACTATTCATGACTCACATATACGAGCAAAATTAGAAATGGCACGAAAAAGTACGAGTCAAACTAAATGACATAACGTAAGTATGTAATACAGCATTTACGAAAATTAATTATTTTAAAATAGGTATAATTTTTGAGAATTTTCTAGTGAAGAAATACTTTGTCAGCAATAAACATAACAAACAGAAAATCAAACACTTAAAATTGCGAAACGTTAATTGCAAACAGAATTTCAGGCTGAACTGTTTTAATTTTGGTATAAACACCCATGAGAAAATTCCCATTGAGTGTTGTTCCAACTTTCGATACGAAAGTAATGGAATATTTGTGCTCGGGGTGGGTTTTTTTTCTTCAGACAAATTTCGACTTTTTAACTAGCCATTTTTGACAAAAAAATTTTATCATTCAAAAGGTATTGTTGTCCTGAGCTTTAATTTGAAAAGATATTTCATCTGTGATCATTTTTTGTAAAGTTATGGGGGTTTAAAGATTGCCAATTTGGCCAATTTTGGACAATTATAATTCGCGCTATTAACGCGTAAGCGGAGATTTAATCCGTCTTATAAATCGTTCCAAATTGGTTGAACGAAGCTTATTTGCCATAATTGGTTTGTTACAAGGAGCGAAATCTATCCTTTTGTACTGTATATGGCGTGCGGGGGGATGATTTTCAAAACACAAAATCAAATTTTAGAAAAAAAAAATTTCGTTTTATTTTAATACATTTTATTTTTATAGGTTATTACTGCTCCTTAAACATTAAAAGGCAGTCGGAACATTCAGGGCTTCGCCCTGATACGAGCAGTCTTGTTTCATTAGCTTACAACCAGAAAACTGTTCAATTAATACAGCGATTGATTATTTACATGTATGCTGAACTGTAACATGGATTTTCTAATTAAAAATAAGTATAATGTTTAGTTTCATGAATTGATTAAAATCAAAATGAATACTAAATTAAGCCAATTTTTTGTACTTTTCTTAAATGTTCATTCAATATTATATCTAAAACACTTCAACCGGCTGCTGTGCAACTAGCTCAGAATGTTTAATTCACGGTTTTTTTTAGTTAAAAATAGATAAAAACATACATGACTGCTCGTATCAGGGCGAAGACCTGAATGTTCCGACTGCCTTTTAAGGTTTATGGAGCAGCAGTAATAACATAAAAAATTAAATGAAATAAAATAAAATGATTTTTTTTTCTCTAAAATTCGAAATTTTTTATGAAAATCATCCCCCCACACGCCATATAAAGTACAAAAAGATAGATTTCGTTCCTTGTAACAAATCAATTATGGCAAATTACCTTCGTTCAACCAACTTGGAACGATTTATAAGACGGATTAAATCTCCTTTTACGCGTTAATAGCGCGAATTATATGGCGCGATAATTGTCCCAAATTGGTCAAAATGGCCAAAATGGCAATCTTTAAACCCTCATAACCTTACTAAAAATGATCACAGGTGAAATATCTTTTCAAATTTAAGCTCAGGACAACAATGGCTTTCGAATGATAAAAAAAGTTCCGTCAAAAATGGCTAGTTAAAAAGTCGAAATTTGTCTGAAGAAAAAAAAAATCCACCCCGAGCACAAATATTCCGTTACTTTCGTATCGAAAGTCGGAATAAAAGTATATTTATGTTTTTAGATAAGGCTTTCATGCTTCTAGATAATAACATAAAACTATATTTAATTGAAAATTGAAAGAAAAGCTTTTCGATATTTTCTCTCAAAAAAACTATAATTTTTTTTCCAAAGTATAGTGTTATTTCAGTTGAGAGTTACTGATTTAGGTAAAACAATGCAAGAGTGAGAAATCCTATCAGCTAAAACGATCAAAGAAGAGAAGAATTAAACTGAAGATGCCATACATTCAGAATTGTTCACTTAACTTATTCAGACAATCGACAACTTTCAGAAAAAATTTTCTCGACTTTCTCGCTGAGACGACTTTTTTGAAAGTTTGCTAGAATTCGAATCAGAACTAAAAGGACTGTGATATGTTAAACTCCACAACTTTACCAGAGGTAGTAAAAAAAGGCTAGAAAAAAAGACAAAAACGGTGTTTTGGTTTTAGCTTCACATAAAACCATACAAGACTGCTCGTATCAGGGCGAAGCCCTGAATGTTCCGACTGCCTTTTAAGGTTTATTGAGCAGCAGTAATACATAAAAAAATGAAATGAAATAAAATAAAATGAATTTTTTTATCTTCTTAAATTTGAAATTTTTTATGAAAATCATCCCCCCACACGCCATATAAAGTACAAAAAGATAGATTTCGTTCCTTGTAACAAATCAATTATGGCAAATAAGCTTCGTTCAACCAATTTGGAACGATTTATAAGACGGATTAAATCTCCGCTTACGCGTTAATAGCGCGAAATTGTATTGCGCGTTAATTGTCCCAAATTGGTCAATATGGCCAAAATGGCAATCTTTAAACCCTCATAACTTTACGAAAAATGATCACAGGTGAAATATCTTTTCAAATTTAAGCTCAGGACAACAATACCTTTTGAATGATATAAAAAAATTCCGTCAAAAATGGCTAGATAAAAAGTCGAAATTTGTCTGAAGAAAAAAAAACCCACCCCGAGCACAAATATTCCGTTACTTTCGTATCGAAAGTCGGAACAATAAACAAAACTGTTCATAACCTTCTTTGATCTTTCTGGATAAAGCTGACTGCTTTTTTGATCGTCTAATGTTTGAAGATATTTTCACCGGTTTCGTTGATTTTAACTTCGAAGCATTTGTTGTTTAGTCTTACCAAAAACAAAAACCAAATTTTCTGTTTTGCGGGCAAATGTCACAGCTTTAGTCACCATTTGATGTAACTTGTTAGTTTATTTACTCGTGTGCAGGAAACTGTAATCCAAACAAGGTAATAACCAATAAGTTGGTTGTTTGCATCTGGTTTGCACATTTTGCTTCAGAGAGGATTGTTTATGATGTATATCTTGAATTTGATGACAATATGCATTCGCGTCATACTTTCCTGCAGCATTGATTGAAGTTTACGAATCGCTATTTTTTCTTCCAAAATTTGGATCTTATACTATAACTTTCCTTTTTTGAGAGAGTTTTTGTAGGAGGTTGCTACTAAGGTAAGTTAATTTACAAACAAAATCATTATTGATTTTTTATAATCATTTAGAACATTAGTCTTTTATAGGGTAAGTTTTTAGCGAGGGGAGTTTTTAGCCCTATTATATCTTCTTGTAATGAAAATTGAATCTTCTATTAAATCTTTTTGTAATTATTTCAATATATGAGATTTTTTGATATCATAGGGACTATATTTTATCTCTGTTTTGGAATCCACAGCTAAACTTCAGAGTGCACGGCAGGGACGGTTCTAAGAGAAGGGAGGGGGGGGGCGCTCTTTGCCTCTCAGGATTTGACCCCCTCACCAACTAAAAGATCCCACATGTTGTATTTTTTATGACGTCCAGTTTTGGCCAACCAACCCTGAAAATTTTGAAAAAAGCCCTTTAGCGCCAATCTATACTGATTTCTCCAATTTTTGACTCCAATTTTTGGTCAAGACATTTCCAAAACGGCATTTTTGACCTTTTTTCAGAAATAATTGCCTGCTGAGCAAAAAATTTCGGGAATGCTCGGAGAATCAATGATTTCCGAGACAAAAAACATCCGTAATAAGCCATTACAGATGTAAAATTCAGACCATGAAATCGATGATACCATCAATAAAATTGACAAACTGGGGGAATTGATAAAAGAGGCGGATTTCGTTCATTTACCAAGTAATTTACCCATGGGTTATTGGTTAACCATGGGTTCAACCATTGGAATCAAACCTTAAGCCCCCTTAACCTTCAACCACTGCCGGCGTTGAACGTAGGGGGGGGGGGGGGGGGGGGGGGTTGGCCGAATGACAATTTTTTTAAAAGGAAAATTAAATGAAATATTAAACTGCCATGAATTGAGGATTGAAAATGTGGAAAAATTGGACATATTAAAAATCTATTTAAAAAAATGTGAGAAATAAGAAATTATGAAACGTAATACATAGCAACTGCACTAAGCAGGAAATGAGAAAAATTGAAAACAAAATTGTAAATTTTATCAATAACCTCTCAGAAAATTTATTATGAACGATTGTCATTGATTGTAACAGGTCATATCAACAAAAAAAACGTTAGGATTAAAATCCATTTTAAATTCATTATAATTGATTGTTTTGTAATTTTGTAGATGCTGATTATAAGATTAAAAAATAATTGTTAACGAATCATGGGAAATCGGTGCGGTGTGGTTCCCATAATCAAAGCAAAATTTTGAAACTATTAATGAAGTAGATTGTTAAATTTTTGCTTAATGGCAATTTTTGAGAAGATTTACATTAAATGTTTATTTCAATTTTACCTTTGTTTCTTAAATGTCCTCGTTTTTTTGGGTAACTGATTTCTCTGAATAGTAATTTGATAAAATCGTCCCGTGCTCATAGTTGCTAACAAAAAAAAATAACTTTTTAGAACCTGTTTTTTTCCCACTCTTTTCGAATTGATTTTTCAGTAAAAAAAAATTACAGCTTTCAGTACACAAACTTTGAGTTGCAACAAGTCTGCTTAAAGATGATCATATTCAACAACCGATCGGCCAATCTATCAAATGTTTTCTCCTGAAACACAATTTTACATTCTAGTTTTTGTTACAATTGAGCTAATGATAATTTTCCGTAATAATTAGGTATAACAAGTCATAATCATTGTAAGAAAATAATCAAAATCATAATCGAAATAATTATAATAATAATCACAATCAAAATAATCATTTTAGTAAACATAATAGTAGTTGTAATAATAATAATCATAAAAATAATCGGCATAATGATAAAAACTGTTGAACAGGAATTGATCTAGGAATAACAGATAGAAAAATAGGATCATAATAGCAGATAAAAAATGTATGTATTGGCGAAGGCGCCTTCAGAAACATTTTTGGGCCAGCCATCCAAAAACGAAGGTCGAGGAAAAAAAGGGCCGTCGGAAACCCCCTTCCCCTAAATCCGCTACTGATAATGATCATAAATTCAAAAATAATCATAATAATCATAATATAAATAATCATAATGATCATAAAAATCATAAAAATCATAATAACCATAATAGTCATATTTTTAAAAATCATAACAATCTTAATAATCATAAAAACAGTTGTAATTTAGAAAAATCATAATAATCATATTAATAAAAATCATTATATTAATCATAACCATAATAATCATAGAATTATCGATAATGATAGGATTAATAGTAATTATAATAATAATATGATTAATAATAATCATATAATACTTAAAAAAGCTGCTCGTTTCAGGGCAAAAACTTGAATTTTCCGCCATCGTTTTGATTTCTGTGGAGTAATTTGAAATCAAAAATTATTGAAATTTTGAAATTTTTTTTATTTGAAGTCCAATTTGGAACGAAGTCTAATACAGACTAATTTGGAACGAAGTCTAATACAGTCTAAATCTACGCTTACGCGTTAATAGCAAGACAAATATCGTAAGTCAATTGTCCCAAATTGGCCAAACATTGAAACCTCCATAACTTTAGAAATAATGATCACATGGGATATATTTTTTAATTTGAACTCAAGACAACAATAAATTTCAAATGATGTAAAAAATTCGTCAACAATTACTTGTTAAAAATTTAAAGTTTGTCTGGAGATAAAAAACCACCCCGAGCACAAAATTTCTGTCATTTTCTTCAAAAGCCGGAAGAATAAAATTAATCATAATAAAATGTTTCGAAAAAAATTTCATCACGTTCGAACTGAATTGACCTAAAGTGAATCAAGCCTCAGGAATCAAGCAAACAAACTCAAGCATACAAGAGTTTTTTTGATCCGACTTTCGGTAGGAAAGTAACGGAATATTTGTGCTCGGGGTGGGTTTTTTTTTCTTCAGACAAATTTCGACTTTTAACTAGCCATTTTTGACGGAATTTTTTTATATCATTCAAAAGGTATTGTTGTCCTGAGCTTAAATTTGAAAAGATATTTCACCTGTGATCATTTTTCGTAGAGTTATGAGGGTTTAAAGATTGCCATTTTGGCCATTTTGACCAATTTGGGACAATTAACGCGCGATATAATTCGCGCTATTAACGCGTAAGCAGAGATTTAATCCGTCTTATAAATCGTTCCAAATTGGTTGAACGAAGCTTATTTGCCATAATTGATTTGTTACAAGGAACAAAATCTCTCTTTTTGTACTTTATATGGCGTGTGGGGGGATGATTTTCACAAAAAATTTCAAATTTTAGAAAAAATTTTCATTTTATTTTATTTCATTAATTTTTTTAATGCTTTTACTGCTGCTCCATAAACCTTAAAAGGCAGTCGGAACATTCAGGGCTTCGCCTTGATACGAGCAGTGTTGTTTGTTTTTAGTATTGATCCATTTTCACGGTTATTGTTCTGACTTTCGAAGAAAGTGCACAATATCTATGCTTGGTGTACTTTTTTATTCATTCAATTTTCGATTTGTTAACTAAGCGCTTTAGACGGAAATTTTGTATGCCATCAGAGAGATATTGTTATCCTAAGCTCAAATTTAAAAAGATATTTCACCTGATAATGTTTTCCTTAAAGTTACGGGCTTTTGAAAGTTGCTAGTTTGGCCAATTTGGGATAATTAAAGTGCGATCGATATATAGCGTACTTGTAACACGCGTAAGAAGCAAATTAATGCGTTCAAAGTCGCATTGAAGCCAGCAATATAATCCTATTATCACAATACGAGACGCTTAACACACCCTTAGTATTTTTGTATTTTACATAGCGTGTGGAGGGATAAAATTTCAAGTCTCATTTGCCATTAGAAATGATTTCTCAAATCACAGAAACTTTTTTTTGCATTTATCTTGAACACTACGACTGTTTAACAACTGGAATCGAGCTAATTGACAATTTTTTGCTTAATGCGAAATTTCCTGAAGGGTAATATTTCATTTAGTGTGGAAGAGTCTGGTTTTTTAGGTATCGATATCGGTGACAAAATTAGTGAGTTTCACTAATCATCATTTACATAGGTAGACAGGATCATGTGTTTGTGTGGCAGTCAGAAAACATGGCTGATTGGGTGGTGGATTATTCACTCAATGGCCGCAGTCATGTTGATCTTCGCCTATGCCGACAGCGACTGGCTAGTTAGAGTGCACTGGAACGAGAAGATGATGAAAGAGTGGCCAAAAAATGTGGAAGTTGGCTACCTGAAGAACGATAGTGGAGCCGAGATTATTACATACCACGCTGCCAAACTGAATTTACATTGGTAGGTTCGGTGGAATAAAATCTATAATAAAATTGTATAAAATTGGAACAGACGTAAATTAATTTTAAATCATCGGCCAAATTTGACCAGTTTTCATGCAAATTTTAAATTTCCTACAACTTGGAGACAAATTTTTGTCTGAAAAATTAGCTTCTGTATGCAAAAACTGTCTGAAAATGGTCATTTGCTCTTAATTCTATTAAGTCTGTTCAATTTTTTGGCAGCTCTCGATAGCAAAATTTAAAATTCAGGTCCGGATAAGCAATTGAGAAGAGCAAATGACCCCTTTCAGAAATTTTTTGCTTGCAAAAGCAAACTTTTCAAACGGAAAGTATGTCTCAAGCACGATTTGACTGACAATCGAACCATTTATGCGAAGCTGACAGATTACTTTTTGCGATGGATTTTATCTGGGTCATTTTTCGCAGCTATCTATATATGAAACAGGTAAAGTAAAAAACCAGCTACCATTAAAGCAAATAATAATGGGAAATTACATAATGAATAATTTTTTAAGTGAAACTTGAACTTAATACATCTTTCCGAATAATTTGTTCAATTTACATAGCAAACCTGTCAAATTAAATAGGTTCCTCAGACTCAAAATCAGTCCATATTGAACTAAATCAAGCTATTTGGTGATAATGATTTGCTTTACGACTCAAAATACTACACCTATGCGACCTATGAAACGATTTTGATTGTCAGAGGATGATAAACAAACATGATCAAAAATTTCAAAATTTTTCCTCTATCAAAACTTTTTAACATGAATTATTCGAGATATTCAATGCTTTTAGCGTCGGAGCAGCAAGCCACGATGCTAAAATTTGATACTTGATTTACTAAAAAAAATAATTAGTGATCACGTTAACGATTTCTCCTTAACAATTTTGTAACGATCTCTATCTGATTAACTTGGTCGAAAATATCAACATAATATCAAATATCAATCACAGACTATAATTTTAAGAAGTTCTTGCTGATATCAATTTTGTAAAGATATGGAGGTTACAGAAGTGACCTGATTGTATCATGCTTTATTTCGAATTATCTTTCGTCCTAAAGCGAGGATGCAAAAAATGCGCTCAAAATGATTCCGTATCTTATTGATTCAAAAAAAGCTATAATTGGTCGTATAATGCGTTACTCGTACGGAAATAAAATTTCGGTTAACTAAAAACTCATTTTTTTGGTCCGACATTGCTTAAGAAACTAGCGAAGGATTGAATGAACTGTGTTTTTCTATCCAATTTTGGCTCAAAGAAAATTTGCTGAGGGTCTATTGTGGTATCATGTTCACAATTCCTTCCTATTGTGATTTTTCCAAAAAAATTGCCTGCTTATTTCCTTTTTTTTCAGACTCAAACAAATGAAAAGGGAATGAATGAGAAGCTTACATGGTGAGCAGTTTGCGGAAACCTATTGCGAAGTTAATTAGAGAAAACTTACCTCAGTCGATTTTGCATTTTTTTCTCTAATCAAATACAGTGCTGATTTAAATTATCCGGACAAACCGCAAAACTAGAAATTTTAAATTTTTTTTTCAAATTGGGTTACTTTAGACAAAAATGATGGAGACAAAAACTATCTTAGAATTTCAGCAATTAGTATGGTGCTATTTGTTTTTGCAAGCCCAAAGTTTTACTCCAAAGAAGGATTATTTTTTGGCCTTTTTAGTCCACCAAAAATTACACTATAATTACCGGTTCAATTACTGCCAAAAACTATAGCAAAGTGAGTCTCCTACGTAGCCGGACAAAAATTAAGCAGGAGTCTCCAAAATTTTTTGGAATGAATTTAATATAATTTTGTTTGATAACCAAATGTTAATTTTACTATGTAAAACACTGTCGTTTATTTGAAAACATTTTTTAAACGTTTTTTTAACGTTCTTTGGAGACAATACTCTATTGAAAAATGTTGGGCTCACGTAAAAAGTTTTCTTTGCAATGGTTTTTGGCAGCAGTTTTTGACCCGGTAGTTGTAGCGGAATCATTGATTGACTGAAAAAACCAAAATTAATCTTTTTTGGGGTAAAACTTTGGGCCCTAGTTTTGCAAAACAATTGCATTTAATTAATTTTGGAAAATTTTTGAGCAAATTTTGTTCCTATGATTTTTTAAAATCAACTAAATTTCCGAAAATCTCATTTTAAAGTTTCAAGTTTCGTGCATTTCGTCCGGATAATTTAAACCAACACTGTTCCGTTTCCCTAACTAAAATTACATTAACAAATTAGCATAAAATTTACTTCTTCATTTGTAGAAGAATTTTGTAATTTTTTTGACAATTTTTGTTCAATAATTACTCTACCTGGATTTTTTGTGGTCAGAAGATTCTGTGCTTCGTGTTTATACTGGGAAAATTATAACAAGTGTGATATAATATTTAAGCATTCTAGGCCATGATTCATGCCCGTGATTCAGGGAATGTTTTTTTCTAATTCTTGCAATTTTGCATCTATTTGAGTAGCCCTCGAAAAAAAATTGTTCGATATTTTAAATAAACTTTCTTTATTCTTGAAATAATTGCCCTCGGGATAATATGTGCTCATTGCACAGCAACTGTCTCTGCTTGTTCGTTTTGGTTTTATTTTGGCTGACCCGACAAAAAAGTTGGGTCAGCGACTAAGTTTTCAATTAATACTAAATAATAGACAACATCGAGCATAAAAAATATAATTTTTCGATCTGTATTTCCCAAAAATAATTTTTTTTCTTAGAACTTTAGAAAAAAGCTTTACAAAGTTTGGTTATTTGTAGGAAAACGGAATGGATGAACGACCCTAAGGATCCAAAGATGCAGTTCAGAGACTGGAATCTCCTCTTCACAGAGCCAGACAGTCCCTTTTGGCTAATTGCACTGGTCGCCATGCTGGGCGCCATTCCTCTGTCTCTCATGCTGGCTTTCCTTCTTTTCCCATTGATTTTGTTCTTCGCCGGATGTTCCAACTGCTCAATTAGACTACATCGCAAACTGAACAAAATCTACAAGCCTTTCAGAATAGTGTGTCAGATTCTGAGTTTCTTGCTTGTCGTCTTGATGGCTACAATTGTATTCTGCTTCGGATATGGAGTTGAAAACGAGCTTACAACCGGTCAGGTTTACATGGATTATTTATTCTATTGCGGCCACCCGAAGCCATTCCATCCCGACCTTTGTTCGTTTGGGTTCGGTTATTGGAATATGTGTATTGCGCTTTTAATCCAACTAATAGCTGCTCTTCTCTCATTGGCTGAATGCTGCATAAACTTCCAGCCAATCAAAGCCGACAATAGACCGGAAAGCATTTTTGAAAACCTAAACATGGACGATCCTCGAGTCCAGTTCGTGTTGGAGCGACTTCGCGACATGAGAAACCGAATGTCGACTGTGAACATGTCAGTAAGACATTCAATGCGACGACAGTCGACGAGACGAGGAACTGTGCTTGGAAAAAATTGGAGGCCTCCGAGTCATGAAATGACAGACGCATGTGATGATTTGACGGGATCAAAAGTTTAGATTTGCAAACTATTATAGTTCATTAAACTTTTATTGTCCAACTTTTTTTAGAATATTGAGAAAACTTTTGAGACTACCGGATATCTTTTTTTTGGCTTTTCGTTGCAATTTTTTGTTCCGTTCTTAGTTTAGTTTCCGTTTTTGCTCAATCGAAAAAAGAAATTCGACGCTAAAAATTTTCGAGAATTTGAACAGAAAATTAGAACCGTAAAACATGAATGAGTTGGACAATAATTGGTATTAACAAAAAGTATTTGAAAGTAAAAAAAACAATAATGAGACAGTTTTGACAGTTTCGATCGTGATTGTTTCGATCTTCCAGAAGCTGCTAGGTAGGCAACTGCGAATCATAAGAAAAGATTATTTCTTGATGGTTATTTGTAACTACGATTGGCTCTGACATTTGTGACTAGCAAATTGATTAATCCCAGATCTTCATTGAGTTTTTTGTAATTCCGAAGCATTTTTGAGTTTGTGAGCTAATCCAGCAAGACTTATTAAATAGTAGCAAGGGTTCTTGCAAAACAAGATAGAAACTGCAAAAAAGTCACCTACACACTATTAATAGCATAAAACAGAAAATTATTTTGGCCAAGTTATTCAAGAAAATGAAAGTGATTCGTATTTAACTTGAAAGCACCACTCAATTCGTGGACAGAATGTTTTAATAATGGGGCAGAATATTTAAACACGGCGGTATGTTTTAGTTATGGCAGACAAAATTTTGGCGGCCAGTGAAATTTTTCGTTAATCTCCAGAGTTAAAAATAAACACCAATGGTTTTATGTAGGTCAAAATTTATTGAGCAGAATATAAGCCGACTAAATCCGGTTTTTCCATGGCAATTTGACATATTTCGTCGATCACTCTTGCATGGAGATATAAATGGCATATTCGGTTTGTTTGCCGATGTGAGTTAGATTCGAGGTGTAACTCATAGAGTAATTTCGGATAGGGTACACCGTCTGCTCGTCACGCTATCTTATTTTCGGCCGGATAGATTCGTGCAACTCCTTAGTCTAAAACAGATCCTAATCTTACTCTTATATCTACTAGTCTCAGGGTGTTTAACTAGTCTCTGCTAGGCTCAATAGATCTAGAGTATACTGGCTTATTGCGATTTCTAAAGTTCTCTGGGAGAGGTAACTAATTTCTAAATTAAATTCAAACCTCTCTGGTGCTGAAATTACAAGTAATTTCAGCACTTACAAATAAGTGGGTTGTTAGTTAGATGGATCTTGATTGGTTAATATTAAATATTTTATAGAGATAAAATATCCAATGTATAACCAAAGAATAAATATAGTTTATATCTGGTTCCAGATGGCTTGATTGAAAAAATGAAATGTTTCGGCGATCATTCGTTTATGAACGGGAATTTCGCGGAAAGTGAGGTCAAAATAGATACGTTGATTCAAAAACTTTAAACTGCGAATAACTTCAGAGAAAAACAAGAAACGCAGAATGTTCTGACCATAGTCTTTAAAAGTACAAATGAATTTTTTCGAATTAGTGTCGCTATTTCTGCGTGGTGCAATAAAAAGATCTAAACGAAAACTAGACCAAAAACAGTAGAAAAATGATTAGAAAAACTAAAAACAAATCGTAAAAAAATGAAAAAAAATTGAAAAAATTTTTCAGTTTTTTTTCAGGTACTTTTTGAATTTTGAAGTTTTTGATATACAAATGGTTCTGAAAACTTCAAAACAAACTTACTTGTTGAAACTAAAATTTCACGGCTCAGATTAAGCATAAATAAGCTATTGTAAGCATGCACGCTCACCTTATTAGGTTGAAATTAGACCAAAAATGAAAATTTTCAAACTGTTTTTGTTCCGACTTTCGATACGAAAGTAACGGAATATTTGTGCTCGGGGTGGGTTTTTTTCTTCAGACAAATTTCGACTTTTTAACTAGCCATTTTTGACGGAATTTTTTAAATATCTTACAAAAGGTATTGTTGTCCTGAGCTTAAATTTGAAAAGATATTTCACCTGTGATCATTTTTCGTAAAGTTATGAGGGTTTAAGGTTTGCCATTTTGGCCATTTTGACCAATTTGGGACAATTAACGCGCGATATAACTCGCGCTATTAACGCGTAAGCGGAGATTTAATCCGTCTTATAAATCGCTCCTAGTTGGTTGAAAGAAGCTTGTTTGCCATAATTGATGTGTTACAAGGAACGAAAACTATCTTTTTGTGTACTTTATATGGCGTGTGGGGGGATGATTTTCATAAAAAATTTCAAAATTAAAAAAAAAAATTTCATTTTATTTTACTTCATATAACGTTTTTATGTTATTACTGCTGCTACATAAACCTTCAAAAGCAGTCGGAACTCTCAGGGCTTTGCCCTGATACGAGCAGGCTTGTTTTATTTTATATTCTACTTCAAAATCAAACTCTTATAGTGAAGATCATTACACTTCTAGGGATACCTTGAAGAATTTTAGGGATACCTTGATTTTTTGATACGGATGCATGTAGACTGTCTACCAACACTGAAAATTTTTCGCCTTAACCTCGTTAATCTATTTTCATCTAATATCAAAAGAAAAAAGTTGTGTTAACAGAAAAAACTGCATAAATGAACTACTTTGACTTTCTGTAACCCATGTCTTGAAGAAGATTTGTATTTGTGGGTCCTCCTCAAGATCCAATTTAAAGTCAGTGACAGTCATGTTTTTCACCAAATATATAGAAAACAATCTATAAAATATATCAAAAATGATGCTGAGACTTTGAAACAAACAAATTTACAGGTAATAGGTTTCCTAAAAAACTTTAAAAAAACTACAATTTATTTTAATGATTTAGCAATTGATAATTTTATTTTGATAATGATATATGATTTATGATTTAAATTATATATGACTAACATGATTTTTCAATTGATATGATTTTATCTTTGATATTTTTGGGAAGCAAATAATTGAAGTGGTGAGGTGTTCGAGATGACTTTCTGTTCACAAGCATAGCGCAGTATTGAATGGGGTTTCGACGGGAGATGAAAAAAAAACATTTTCTCAGACAGTTTCCATTCACATAACAACAGGGATATTTTGGTTTTTCTAGCATAGTTAGGTCCGTTAAAAATAAGAATCACTTGAATGTCGTTTATTATTATCACAGGGTATATAAATTGATAGGATTTATTGAAAAAACAATTCAAATTTGGTAAAAGTTAGTTATCCCTGTTTCTCTATTGTTTGCTGAGGAATACGTTGACGGCCAAATCAAGTGCAAAGGAAGCAAATTTTTGTTATCTGGAAAACCGCAGATTGCTTCAAATTTTGACCAACTCATTTCCAAAATTTTTTTTAGATAACAGTTCAAACAAGCAGTAATTTCGTTTGAAGAAAATTTTTTATTCAATGCTTCAAAAATTTAATTAGAGAAATGAAAATGTTACTCCGTTTTAATTTTAAAGAATAGAACTAGTGATCAAAGGAACTTAATCTTAATCATGCACAGAGAATTTATGTTGTGGAAACCCGCAATAAGTCTTAGTAGGTTTTATTTTTAATAACATACTAGTTTGCAGACTTTCTCTGAGTTGCAGTTTTTGTATGATTTGCTAATTATATTAGGTTTTGAATGTCCTTGAAAGTTGAATCACAGACAATTGAAACTACATGTTAGTTGGGTAGGCTATTGATTTGAATTCGTGCTAAGTTTGTTCATAATAACTTAATAGTTTTATAATTTGTTTATAATAGCATACACTTGAAAAAGTGATTTCCAAAGAATTAATTCCATGATAAAACCAGTAAATGTCATAAAACAATGTTCAATTTAGGTAAGCAGATTGTTGGGGGTGAGTTCAAGGGAATTTGAAAAGAGAGCTGAATTTAATCTTCATTTAATTTCAATTTTAAGAAAATGTTTCGAAGAAATTGGTTTCTGCTCCTACCCGAGCCTCCGCTCAATCCCTCCGGGGATAAGCTGGCCTTACTACCCACAAATTTTTACAATCATGGAAGAATTATGTTAGTGGCAAGTACTTTTTATTGTATTAGGCTGCGCGCCTTCTTTTCTCACTGCCCCTTTAGCTGTATCGTTCGCACTCCCAATCCCAAGGAACTCCAATTGCAATTAAGCTTAATGAAATACAAATCCATTTAAAAAGTGCTGCAAAATTGCCAGAAAAATCTAGTATTCTAACCAAAAAATGTCCGAGATCAATAAGCAGTTCTTTGCATTTTGTATGAGTTGCTACTTGTATTAGATTTTGATTGTCCTTGAAAGTTGAACCACAGACAATTGAAACGACATGTTAGTTGGGCTATTGAATTGAGTTTGTGCTTAGTTTTTTTCATAATAACTTGATAGTTTGATAATATGTTTATAATAACTTACCACTGAAAAAGTGATTGCCGAAGAATTATTTCCATGATAAAACCAGTAAGTGTCATGAAACAATGTTTAATTTAGGTAAAGAGATTGTTGGGGGGTGAGTTCAAAGGGATTTGAAAAGATATCTGAATTTAATCTTCATTTATTTTCAATTTTAGTAAAAGGTTTTGAAGAAATTATATTTTTGATCCTACCCGAGCCAACGCTCAATCCTTCCAGGGATAGGCTGGCTTTACTACCCACAAGTATTTACAATCATGAAAGGGTTATGTTAGTGGCAAGTGCTTTTTATTGTTTTAGTTTGCGCACCTTGTTTGCCCCTGTGGCTGTATCGTTAGGAATTCCAATTGCAATTAAGCGTAATGAAATGTAAATCTAACTAAAAAGTGCTCCAATTAGGCAAAAAAAATCCAGTAATCTAAAAAATAAAAGTCCCAGATCAATAAGCAGTTCTGTGCAGTTTTTGTATGAGTTGCTAATTATATTAGGTTTTGAATGTCCTTGAAAGTTGAACCACAGACAATTGAAACGACATATTAGTTGAGTAGGCTATTGAATTGAACTTTTGCTAAGTTTGTTTATAATAACTTAATAGTTTTATAATTTTTTTTATAATAACATACACTTGAAAAAATGATTGCCAAAGAATTAACTCCTGATAAAACCAGTAAACGTCATGAAACGTTTTTCAATTTAGGTAAGTAGATTGATGGGGGG